CTCTTGAGTTTTCATGAATTCAATATTATAATTGATTTCTAAGTATATAGTGTATGAGTGTTTATTAGATATTGTTGTAAATTGATATTGTTGTAAATTAATCTTTTAAATATATATATGCATAAACTTTATTTTTTCCAAAGCTTCCTGTGGTGTTGTACCTTTCTTGGTAAATTATTGATACTTTGTGGGAAGATACAGGCAATTAATAAAATTAAAATGAATGTTCTTAAATAATAATATAACTGTTAAATAATGCACGAAGAAATACCATGGGATTAGTCATGAGATGTGGTAAAGAAAGATACAACAGGATGGCAACAGTCATGATGTCAGGTAAGAGCAGAGAGTGAGTATTTTAAGTGGGTTGTAATCAGGTCGAGAGACAGAATAATTTTGAGAAAGAGGGTGAGATGGAGAGATAATATAGGGAGAGACAGGGGAGAGAGTCAGAGGGGAAGAGAGAGGGGAGGAGATTGAACTTTAACATGCTCTTTAAGTATTGTATGCAGTTAGATTCCATTGGCCTTAAAAGGGAATTAGATTCCTCGTTGCATCTTGCTTCAAAGTGAAATGTAAATCATTGTCATGTGACATCTTTCTTCAGGTATGCTGCCACATTATTTCTTCTTCCACCTACACTGGTCATGTCTGCTATTTGTAATTCACCACAGGTATGGCAGGCTATACTTTCTTACTGGAGTAATAACAATTCCATATTTATCTGCACCTGGGATTTCTAAACCTATATATATGACCTTTGTAATATTCCTCTATGTATTGCCTTGGGTAATATTGTTGTGTTTCTACGGCAAGGTTTTACATAAGACAATGACAGAATAAAAGTATAATGAAAAAGTGCTATGCAGTCCTAGATTGCGCTACTTAAACAATTGAATGGGAGCTGGGCCCCTCGATATGTAGACTGTTCTTCATTTAATAGTTTCTGTTTTGCAGTCTTGTGCATTTCAGATAACAAAACAGGATATTCAGAGTGTAATAAAAGAGAAAACTAGTTTGTACTTAACATTCTTGGAAAGAAAATTAGGTAAGACAGCGACCCCAATTTTTTCTGGCCAGCTTTCCGGCTAATCTCTCCTCTGCCCCACGGACTGCCTTTCCCGATCTACTGTGTTTCCGGATCCGATCGAGAAATTGACACCGGAAAACAGCAGCGCAACCGGAACGAAGCCATCTCGCGCCTACATGGGGATACATCCGTCGATTTGGAACCCGCTAAATGCCCGACCCAGACCCAAAAACAGAAAGCTCTGTTGTTTACGTTATATATTAAAAAATAAAAAAAATAAAAAACCAACCTCAAAGCTGCTGGAATTGGATTTTGATTGAATCTTTGGCCGGATCCGCGATAAGGGCATAGGCTTTTGAGGAGAGAGCAAAGAGAACGTCAAAGCTGGAAGGCTCAGATACCATTTGTTGGAGACGATCAAGTACAGTGACATTTATACTTGCACCATAAAGGCAAGTACCAGGCCCACTGATACATCGTAGCTGGTAGATGGTACCACACGGCGTCCCTGTTTTGTTCCATAACACCTCGTCAACAGCACCAAATAGGCCATCAGATGGTAGATGCTCTTCGTCGTATCCACACGCATTGGGTGAGTAAGGTGAATCATATCGAGCGGCAAAGCCAACTTCCAGAGGATCAACGGCGGTGGATAGGGGAGCGAGAGGGAGGACGGCAGTGACGAGGAGGATGCAAACGTAGGGAAATAGATGTTTCACCATGATCAAGGTTTCAGAACTCTCTTAATCCAAATCGATAGTGGAAAGGAAATAAATAGAAGTGTCTAAAATTAAGCAGGCTGAGTGCTTCAACGCAGGTTTCGACATTAGGAGTAATTAATATCAGTCAAAGATATACGCTGCTAATTCTGTTTTTTAGTGCTCAATGATATATATTATCAAAATCTTCTCGCTGCTTCACATTAAATCAAAAGATTTTTTTTTTTTTTTATCTTTGTTATATAATAAAAAGTAATCATCTCTTATTTTTTATTCATCCAACTCGCATATTATACAGCTCAAATTCAAGATCTCTTATTTCCAGTGAAAAAATGATCACTGAACTATTTAATTCATTGATGAGTCAAAAAGAATCGATAACAATAAATAAAGGGTTTTTTTTATAGTATATATTAAAGATATAATTAATATATTTTTATAATTAATTTTTATTGAAAATATAAATATTAATTTCAGTTTAAATAATTAACCAATTAAATCATCTTTATATTAATTATATTAAAATAAATATCAATTTTTATAAATTTTTATATAAATTAATTATAAAAAATATATTTGTCATATCTTTAACATTTGTCTTAGCTAAACCCATAAATAAATAAATAAAAAGAGTGATAAAGTGATTTCGGTTGGTGGCTTTATGGGAATAGTTAGATTAGAACTTTGTTGACTTTAAGGTGATCATGGGAATTTATTCATTGGCATGGGCGTGAGGGATTTAATATGGATGAGGATTTATAGGCATGTTTGAATAAGAGGGGTATTCTGGAAAATTGAAGTACTAGGTGAATCCGATTTTTCTAAGGAGATTCATGAATTTAACATGTGAGTTGAAAATTTTACTAATGGATTTAAAAGTTCTATCATGCAATTACTGACACAACTATGTTGATTAAATTAAGAGGTTATAATAGGGAAAAATGATTGGTACATTTTAAGTTTAAAATGTTTTATAATATATTTATTAATAAATTATTATTTTTGAATTTAAATTAAAGATGAGAAAACTAAATGTTACAAATTTTAATAGTTGGATTGGTGAATTCCATGAGATATACTAAGTCGGAGAATGTTACAATCATTATGTTATGGTAGGGGAAGAAAATGTTGCAATATATATATATATATATATGTATATATGTATACATAGTAGTCGTAGCTCTGATACAAGTGTCCAAAGGAATATATATTCAATCAAGCAATATACAATCAATCACGGAAGTAATATACAACAATCACGATAGTATTATACCAAAAGTTTTTTTTATAATTTTAATTATCAAAATATCTTAATTTTTTTCTATCCTTATTAGTTAATATAATATATGATATCTCTTGTTTTCTTACTTTGTATCCTTTTACTTAATTAAGGTTTTAGTATTTTTTACTGTTTTATTTCACAACCTTTGTGAACAATGAAAAACTTTTTGCATATGCTTTTTTTTATTAATTTTTTAATATTTAGTAATTATATTGGATCCTGATTAATCTAAAATCCAACCATATTAAAAGAAAATTCTTTCAACACTTACTCAAATTTAAATTTTTATTTAAAAAAAATTAAAATCTTTTCATTCTTACTAATAGTTCGAGTTGGTTTGCACATGCTTCATTGACCTTTAATTTGAAATATGGATCCAAAATATGGATCTTCTAGAATCCATGGTCAAAGAGTGCCATGCATGATAGGCAGCCATTTTGGACTGGCAGTCTGGCGCACAATTGAAGCCACTAGAAGAATACAACATTATTTGGAGCAGATAATTTTTCATTGAACTGAAGTTAAATTATTTGGGTCAGATAATATGGACGCTACTAGAAGGAAAATTGATGCAAATATGGAAATAATTGTGTCAATAAAATGGACGCTGATTTTGAGAAAAAAGAAAAAAGGAGGCAACGAAGATAACATTTGTGTCAATGAAAAATAGGTTGACGTAACGACGTTAATATTTTTTAAATAATTGAGTCCGTCAAAGCTGACACAAATGCGGCTATAAATAATAAATCGAATCTTTATTTATGCTCCAGTAACAATTATTTATGTCACAATCTGTATTAATATTTAAAAATAAAACTCAAGTTATTTATGTTTAATTATATATTTTTAAAAAATAATTATTAAATAACTTAATTTTAGACGTATTAATATTAATATTTTATAATTGATGCCAAAAAATACGGACACTTTTATAATTACATTCTCGAAGTAAACCACCTCTAGTCGTGGGATTTGGTACCAGCACGATAACTTTCATTTGACTCTTTTTTTTCAAAGGAAAAAACACTTCTTTATTTAGATATATGTTTATTTAACATGATATTTTTTCATATATATTTATATTTTCTCACGTGTATGTCTCCTTATGTCTAGACTCTTCACTTTTGCAAGGCTATCTTCGGCTTTCATTTGATTTTTTTAAAACCTGACAGATATATTTTTTTTTGAATTTAATATAATATTTTTTTATATATGTTTATACTCTCTCATATGTGGCCATACAGGAGAGCTTCTGCTTTTGAAAAAGTTGCATCTTTCCTCCCTAGAGGAGACCTGTTCAATTCCACATGACAGCACCAGCCATCTCTTATATATGATCCCACCATAATCCGAATTCCTAGAGTTGGCTTCCCTACTCCGTCAAAGTTCATGTGTGTTTCTAAACTAGTCAGTTAGACTCTCCTGACAAGATTACGACTTAGAGTTCTAATTAGACTTGCTTTTCAAGCATAAGACCCATAACGCAATATATGGACAACATTTATTAGGATTAAATCTATAATCTTAATATGAATCCAACCCACTTGACTATATTTAGCAAACTTAGAAATTATGACACACGTTTGCTATGGTTATCCCCCTATTGAGGTGATTGAGGGGGGATCTTTAGTTGAGAAGAAATAACTGAAAGATTAAGAAAGAGCCTCTTGGGAAGACTCGGAATTTTTAGAGGGGATTAAGAATATACTTCTAATATTGTAATTATTTTTAAAATTTTTTTTTAATAAATTATCTATTAACTATGTATCTTTTATTAATTTTATCTATAATATTTATTCTCTCTAGTAATAACTCATTAACTCTAAAATCATATCAAATTAGGTGGTGCTATAAGGATAATTTTTTTATATTATTTTTTGATACAATTTTCACGTATCATTAAATAAGTAGATGTATTAAATATCATGAGTTTTACATGAATAAAAAGAACCAATAATTTAAATGAAACATTAAATTATAAAAAAATAATATAAAAAAATTAATCCAAAATAATTTCCCATATCAAATTAGTCTACTTAAGCCATTCCCGGTAGTTAAAATGATGAAAGTCCCTGTCAATGCTGATGTGGCACCACATCATAACCGAATTTCTCTTAAATCATTCTTCTAGATTCTTACTTTCAAAATATGTTTTGAATAAACCTTTGTCTAAATTGTTGTTAATGGCTTGGATTTGAAGGTTTACCTTTTAATTTTTTTGTCCAGTCGTACACTAGTCTTGGGTTTTAAGGTTATTTTTTAAGAAAATAAACATTTTAAATAAAATTAGTAAAAAATACATAGTTAGTAGACAATTATTAAATGAAACCATTTTCTTAATAGTAAATATTTTTCTTCTTTTCTCTCTATAGTTTTTTTTTTTCTCTGCTCAAAGGGTTTTTTTATGTTAAATTAATGCTCTCTTCTGATTACTTTTCTCTATTATTATTTACTTGCATAATTTTTTTGGTGTGTTAAATCTTAAGAATTGGTGTTAAAGACTGAGAATAATTTTATTCCGAATAATAATATTAGAAAGATTAAGGGAATAACTTTTAATTCCCAACAGGTCAATGGTCTATTTTAACTTGACTTAATGGCGATATATAATTCAACTACAGAATTCGCAAATTACAAATAAAATTAAAACTAGCACTAAATTGGACTAAAATTGCATTTTGGCAATACTCAAACTTTGTACCTGAAGGTGTCATTATTATTACATATATTGGATCTTCCACCTTAATTACTGGGCCAATGCTTTCATTAGCAGATTATTGTTTTGTAAATCCATTCACCAAACCCAAGAGTAAATGGATACATGTTGGTTGATTTTGTGGCCTAATTTTGACAACCATTTGGGCTAATGGCCCAAAATATTTCGTGGACTATCGACTTCACTCGAATCACACCAAGACAATAGCCAATAGGAATGCTCAGAGCAAACTTGGGCTTTTGTCGTGCTATGTTGCAGTAGTTTATTTTGTCTTTTTGCTATATGAAAAAATATAAAATATATTAATTAAAATTAATAAAACTATATATCAAAAAAAAAAAAGAAATTAATGTGTATCTTGACTCTAAAAAAATAATTAGAGTATTAACTTACATTTGAAAATTAAAAT